CCTGCGAGAGCTGGAGTGGGGTCGGGCCCGTGTGCCTGCCTCCCGCGCCCTCTCCCGAGTCCCGGAGTCCTAGTGAAAGGAAGGGGGAGGGCGCGGGCGGGGGAGGGGGGAGGATCGCGGCGGCAGTGCGGCCGAGCCCAGCGGGGACCGTCACCCCGCGATCTGCCTCGGAGGGGGCGCACGGCGCGCTCGCACTGCTCGCCCGGCGGGCCCGGAGCCGCTTCCCTGCCTAGCGCCGGGGGAGGCGCAGCCGGTAGCGCAAGCAGAGAGCGACCTCTCCCTCCACCGCCCTACCCCCTTGGGTGAATTTCGGTGAATTTCGGTCAGTCGGAGGGAGCGGGGTCTTGCCGGGTTGGGGGCGTCGGGGGTGAACAGTTCGTGAAGGCCGATCGAGGACCCTTCGCCGCTCCCCACGCCCCTCCCGCTCCCCAGCGCCCTCGAGGCCCAGTGGCTCCTGCGCGTCGGAGTCAGCCACGGAGACTGAGCGGCTGCCGCGGGGACCGCCGCGGGCTCGGCGCCTGTTCCCGGGCTCAACACTGCCACCGTCTGACACAACAGGAGCAGTGTTGGGGGGACTGCGCGCCGAGACGCGAGATATGATAGGCTCTCGGAACTGGGTGCGTTCTTTTTTTTAACCTGGTAATTACATTTTACTTTCAGGGATTTATCTTTCTGTTAAGCGACTTGTATGCAATCAGATGCTCATGCGCGTTATCCACGAGCATTGTACACTTGATGAGGGGAAGGACAGAGAGATGGCAAGTGTACAGTGACATGCAGTTCTCCATTCAGGGAGGTGGGAATGAAGAAGGCGGCATGTCTTCATTTCTTACAAAATATGGTGGTATTGTTTATGTCTTTGGGCATTTGTATTTGGGCTGCAAAAGGGGGCCTTTATAGCGCCACTGAGGAACGGAACTCCTCGGGGAAGTGACAACATTATAGACACATAAGGACAGATAAGGATTCAGGAAGATCTGCAAGTGGTTCGCATAAAGACTTCAGAAGAGAGTTCAGTCAGGACTCGGATTCTGAGAGGACTACTGACTATGACGTTCAGTACGAGAGTTTCGGAACATGTGGACTGAGAAATGGTTTGGAGGTGAGTGGGGGGGCTTCCCCCCACCGACCACACCAGCCACTGTTTGCCGGAGTTGGCTGCTGGTTTGAGTTCTGTCACTGAACTTTTTCACTAGTGTCACTCTTCACAGGAGTGCTGCAGTGAAATGAGGTGAAGAAGACTGGGTGGCTAGATCCCCCCAACTTCCGTCCTGGTCTGGTCCCTGGACGGGGTTCACCTCCATCTGACCCAAGTGCTCTCCCTGGCTTCTTCTTTCAGAGGAATGTTCTGTTTTACCACAAACTTTTCCTCTGGTACTCATCAGTGCAAGACCTCCTTTGGAGCGATGTTTCAATAGTTCTCTCCTATGCTTTAGAACAGAACATTGTTTTTAGTGAGAAATAATACTTAATTAGAAAAAAAAAATCATCAGGACACGTGAGCTGATGTTAGAAGTAGAGGTCAAGGCACAAAATATAATGTCAAAACAGTCATTCTGTGTAATCAAACGACCTTTGCCCATTTGCTTTCTGCACTCAGATTTCTGAAATCCTAGACACAAAGGAATAAGATAGCATGTGAGCCCTTTCCTACAATTTCCAAACAGAAAAATGAGTCCCAGAAATCAGAAGGATTTGTTCACAACCATATGGCTGGCTCGTATTATCAGAGCTAGAAACAAAGCTTGTTGCTCAAGTCCTTTCCCTTCTAAAACTTAGGTATATTTACAGGGTCTTCCTTCCTCTATCGTGTTTCTTTGAAGAACAGCTCCGATAAGCATATTCCTTACTAAAAAATCACTATGATAGATAGTAGATAAATCCGCAGAATTATAGGACGGTAAAAGTTCACCTAAAATATCACCTAGTTGAATTCTCTCATCTTAAAGCTGAGGAATTAGGAAAAGAGATTCAATGGATTGCCCTAAGTCACTAAGTTAAGGAAAAGCCATAGACTGAGTTCATGTGCCTTTACTATCATCCAATATTCCTTCCTTACATGTAGCCCATCTTTCAATCCTGAAAGGTGAGAGGAGGGAAAGGAAAGGCATATAATGTATATTTATAATATATTATTTTACATGTATTTTCAGTGTAGAATAATATAATATATTGTAAATATAATATAATTTTAAACACATAATAACACAGGATTTCTAAAAAACTAACCCCATCCCCCTGAACTATATGTCTGTTGGTAGAATGGGACTTGTATTCAAATCCTACCCGAATGTCATAGAGGTTCTTAGCTTCTTTCCCTATTAGGCCACTTTTTGATTGTCTGAGAACCAAACCCTGAAACACAGAGTCTGAAGCTGGTAAAGAAGCTGGCCATGATATTTTAAGGTACCAAGGACCCAGGGCCATTGGGAAAACGAATGGGCAATCTGAGCATTCAATGGGAATGCACACCACATGTATTGCTCAGTTCTACACAATCTCCAAAGTCAATATCATGCACTCATTCAGCAAATAATTATGTAGCCTGTACTATGTGCCAGATACTATAGTAGCAACTAGAGATACACACATGACCAACACACAGTACCCCTCCTCATAGAATTCATAATCTAGTGGGAAAGACCAGCATGCAAAACTCTAACTACAACTAATGTATGAAAATATTAGAAAGGAAATGCTTATAAAGTGCATGGAGCACAGATGCAGAAGTGATGGGAGGAGGATGAGGTCAGAAATCACACCCTCTTTAGAAATGCTGCACATTTATTGTTTGTGTGTATTTAACATACACATTTTCTTTTCCCCTTTGTGCATATGTATCTTTTTTTCTATAACCTGTTTTTCCAACCAAATATAAAAATGATGAAGACTGGGCTATGCCCTCCATGAAGGTCAATAAATGTGGGTGAGAATAAATGTTCCTCTGACATCACCAGATAGCTGACTTGCTTCCAGCTGGGCTATTGATCTGTGGTCTGGGCATGTATGTTCCTAGCCTGTAAAAAGGCCATAACGATAACCCCTTTTCCCCAGGCCCTATACCAGAAATACTAAAGGATCTGTAGGATAATGCCCTATAGGAGTTGAGGACTTGAACCATATATACAAGCTCAAGGTATGGTTCAGAGTACAAGAGCAGGTCATCTCATTTTCACATCTCTGAAGCTAAAGGTATAGGAAATGAGGCAAATCCATACATTCTTCTTTTATGGGAAGTAGAGATCAAATGCTCAGAGCCAGTTACCTCCCCTTCCTGAGTTCAAATACAGTATTGATTCTCACCTTTTTTGAAAATGAGGTAGTATTATCTAATGTAGTGTTTCTCAACACATTATAAATCAGAATTACCTGTGGGAATTACTGATACTTGGGATCCACTTGATTTATTGGTCTTAGGTAGACCCAGCATTGGTACTTTTAATCAATGTCCCAAGTGCTTCTGGTATGCAACCAGCATTGAGAATCACTTATCCAATTGAAATTGCCCCTACAGTGTGATCAGGATATTTATAAAGCGCCTACTCTCTGGACATAGGTAGCACTAATAGAAGGTGTGCCTAACTAAAGGAGGTGAAAGTCGCAATGTACTGTGGAGTGATTGGGCCATATGTGAAGTTTAGGTGCAATTCTGGAAATTTAGAAACTGAGAGCATGTTTCACAATGCAATGAAAAGACCACAGACCAGATCATTAAGCAGACTTAGTTTTAAGCTCATTTGGACAGTCCCCTCATCTCTGCCCCTCAGATTCCACTTCTGAAAAAAAGAGTATTCTAAAGTCCTCTGAGGACCAAGCCAGCTATAAAATTCCCTCCATTTTGATTCTAGCACACAGAAGAGTTCCAGCAGGACAGTGAGAGCATACTGTGGACAGTCAGAGTGGACTGAGAAAACTGTCCTTAAATGTAAGAAAAACATCAGGGAAAATAGGGATTAGTTTGCTTAACTCTGCCATGGACAGGAGGGCATAACAAGCCCACCTGAGCTTATAGGGAGGCAGATCTCAACTGAATATAGTAAAAAACACTGCGATTGGACCTAACGTAAGAACAAATCATCTTAAATAGTAATGAGCTCCCAGTTTGGAATAGAATTTCAGAAAAGATTGTGTGCCTTTGTTTTTCTGCTTCCTTCCAAATCACCGGCTATGAACTCTTTGAGGTCAAGGGCTTTGCATTGTACTTCCATACCTCCACCAGATACAATTGCATTTGGAGCCCAGTGTATGGCCAATAAAGTTTGGTGAAATGTCAAAAATATTTAGCAACCGATATGGCATGGAACCAATCCATCAGAATGGACACTGACACCTGGCCCTGCTCATCCAGGTGAGGTCATTTAAGTTGCTGGATCCTGTGGAGGTTCAGGAGGGAAAGGATGACAGAGTAAGGGGGTGAATTTGGAGTAGTAGTTATCTAAAAATTCAAATATTTTAACTCCATCATGCCTGCCCATGCATATTAGATGAACATTAGTTCTGTATAATGAATAAATACATGAATGAATCAATCAATCAATCAAGGCTGTCATGGAAAGACAGAAAATTACAGACTTAGATTCTAGTCCTACTCTGCCATTAACTGGCTTGGTGAAGCTGAGCCCACAGTTTCGGTCCATCCTACCTCAGTTTCCTCATCTATAAACTGACAACCATAATCTTCCCTTACGATATTAATCATTATGAGGCTCACAGAAAATATCAGATGTAAGGTTACATTACAACGTTAAATAATTCTGTTCAAATACTGATTTTGATTATTAAAATATGATGTGGACATTTAAATGACTTCCTTCTGATGCAGCCTAATTCTGAGGTCCACATCATACCTTTCTCTCTCTAGGAAGTGAGAAGGTAACTTTAACTCCTGCTTCTTCCCTGCCCAGCCCCACTTCGGAAAAGACTCCTTACTCCAGGTCCTTCCCCTGATGCTACTGCTAAGCAACAAGGAGCTAAGCAGGAACAAAATGTAATAGTCCCAGGAAGGGAATCCCACATCTGACAACAATCAGATTTGAGTTTTGGAAGCTTTACCTTACTGGATGTGAGAAATTCTGTAGAGGAAGCTTTCTTGGCACAAAGTTCCTTGTGAGGATCCTCCAAGAGAGTGGCTTTCACAACTTGAAAGGCAGTAAGGTAGAAGAGGGGCATTCTTCTGGGTTTTCATTTTCCAGCTCCTTGACAGATTTGTTGTCACCATAACTTCAGAGTGCCCCAAATCTACAGAAAGATTTGAAATGTTCCCAGTTGCTACCCGAGCCTTAGGAGTGCAGGTATAAGAAGTTTATGTTTATATCACTCTGTATGGCACAGGAGCCAAAAGGAGATCTCAGAGAAATAACATGGGGAGATGGAAGCTTTTGATTCTCCCTAAAAATCCCACCTACATGGGCCATAACAAACAAAGGGGTGCACAGAAAGGTGTTTCAAGCTTATTTAGATTTGGGGGGATTTATTGAAAGGATATAGTGGAACCTCGTGGAAGGCAGACACAGGAAGTATAGTCAGGCCTCATAGGATTTGGGAAGGTGCCAGAAACTTTCTCTCTCTCCCTCTTCAGGGTCACATTGATTCTTGCCTGTGTTTCTATCTATTCTATCCTTTCAGAGAAAAATGTTCTCTGCAAGATCTTGGTTTTGCTCCTTCATAAGTTTGATTTACACTTGACTTTTGTTTCCTTAATCCTCCATGACAACCCTCAACTGTTCTGTCAGTCTTTTCTGTGATTCACCTTCCTCAGGAGAAGATATTTGATTGTCACCCAGTGCATTAAAGGTGCACTCCTGGTACCCACAACTGAGGCCAAGTGGCTGGTCCACACATGAGAGAATGGGAAATGTGACCTTTGTAAGGCATGGGCTGGACTGGCACTCCAGGTGTGTCTAGGATGAGGAGCAAAAACTCTCAACGAATTTAAGTATTTGCATCACCGAGGTCATCATGTAACATGAGAAGACCTTGGATTTGAAGTTACACAGGTTGGGTTTTATTCACTCTGAGGAAAACTAGTCAAGCTATCTCTCTGAGTTTCAGTTTCTTCATCTGAAACAAGCCTCCTGACAGTAGCACCAACTCTTTAGGGTTTAAGCAAGAATAAAGAGCAGTTAGATGAGGTGATATATGAAAACACCTATGTGGCCAAGATTATGCTAGGTGCTATGAGAGTACAACAGACAGATAACGTATTGTTTGTCAGTAAATTTTCATTGAGAATGTACTGTATTTGGCCTGAACTTGATACTAAGGACATAAAAACTATTAAAATATGTTCTTCACCTTGAGAACTTTCATTCAAGTAAAAGAGACTCATGTAGTGCTAGAATCAGAATTGTCATTCTATTCCCTTCCTTTCTTTGTGATTGAATTTGAAGAACAGAGAAGTTACAGTTTTTTAATCTCTTTCCCAAGGCCAGCTCTAGCTTTTGAGAGCAGGGGAGTTCTTTGTACACAGCTCTTTCCTGTCCTCATTCAGCTTTTAATCCATTTTGGCTGACAAGACTACACATGAACCAGTAAGGAAAAAATACAAGAGTAGCATGAAATTGTGCCTGCTCCTGATGAATATGAACATGCTGAAGGGATTCCCTTATAAGAAAGAGATAAGGTGAGATGATCTTTAAGGTGCTATCTATCCATACGATGCTGTTGAACTAAAAGTAGATAAAAGAGAAAGATACAAGTAAGTTACATGTAAGACAAAAGCTTTTATTGACGACTTGAACTGCAATGAAAAGAAACACTGGACATACATAGAGAGAAAGTTGAACAGTCCAGTCTGGATAACTTAGTTTTACCATCGAGTATTTTATAAGTATGTGGAATTGTCAGACTATTATTGCTAACTAAAGTTGGCTCTTGGCTTGACCAGTGTGACATAAACATTAGAAAGACCTGTGTAAGTAGAGGACAACTTTTAGAATGGTAGAAGGATGGCCATGGGAAAACATTAATTTGAACTCTACTTCCTGGACAATGGGTTTATTCCAGATTCTGAGATCAGAATCCACAAGCACTGTTTGTTCCTTGGTAATTAAGCTATTTGTGTCAGTGAACCTATCAAACATAGTGCTACAAATCCTGATGCTATATAGATCTTCAGAAAGGTCATTCGGTTCAAGCCTAGTTCCAAATGATTCAGCACAAAGTCCATGGAACTGAACCAGCTGGAGAAACAGACAAATTGCTCAAAGTTACACAGCTAGTAGTTAGCAAACTGATATTTGAAGCCCAATAATCTTGCTCTAGAACTTACCCTCTTATCCATTGCTCCATGAAGCCATTCTATTGCAGGACTGCACAGCCAGGAAGCAACAGAGACACCTGGATGCTCCTTATGTCACCTCTTTAGAATGTATTGAACAAGCTTGTTGATTTCAGCCTTCTAAACAAAGCAAATCACAGTAACATTGAAATTTCAAAGTATAGAGCTGATAGGTTCACTAGAGATAATTTGGACCAAGCAATTTATTTTAGAAGTAAGAGAAAACTGAAAACCAGAAAGGTAAACATGCAGGTAACAAACACGATAAGCACGCAGGTAACAAAGCTGGGTTTAGAAACCAGCACATTAGATCACAGTTGCAGAGCCCTTCTCATTATACCCAGATGCCAGGGCTTGGATATAACCCCAGTAGACCAATTCAGACTAGGAAAAAGAGAACCAAGAATGAAGAGGTTCAGTAAATGGACCCCTCAATGAGCCTTCAAAGCAGGGATATCTGGGCATGTTCTCTTTCAGAAAATAATTTGGCATACACTTTTGGGATTTTCCATTTGCAATCTGAATTGTGCCACAAGGGAAAGAAAATAGGGTTGAATGTTTCACATTTAGACCAATACTCTCTCAGCAATTACTCACTTTTTTGTCTTATAATAACGGATAGTAAGAAAATCTTTTAGTGGAAAAAGTAAAAGAAAAATATTTTAAGAAATTAAGAATAAGCTATAGTATGAAATTATATATGAGATGTTTTTGAAAATAGTGCATTTTTTGTAAAGTGAAATCAGTTATTATAATGTCATCTATTCATAGTAAAATGTATAGAATCCATTCATCCAACCAATTATCCATCCATCCATTAATATTGTAAGTCACTGGGCACAATGAGAAGCACTGTGAGATGCACAAAGAAGGATAAAATGCCATCCTAACCTGGGAGATATGTAAAATCCAGACAGGAGCTTACAACCTTTAGTTTCAGGTCTATAGAGAAGTTGGCTGAAGATGACTCTGACTTCATTCAGAAATAATGACCAAGTACCGTAACTTGCAACTTTACTTCTCCATACCCTCAGTTAATTTCACCAAAGTCATCTACTTCTGTACATATCCCGTAGTAATATAAATGAGCAAGTTCCTTTATAGATAATACTATTGTCACCCATGATATTGTCTATAATCAATCTGTTTCATCCATTATTTAAAATTAGAGAAAACAAGTGTGCAAAAAAAAAAAAAAAAAAAAAAACCTATCAGGCCCTGCCTGAGACTTTTCAAGTCAATTAAATTATATGTACATGCATGTATTTTCATCCTAATCCAATATTTTAACAGTCAATTCTTTTTCTCTAAACAATGAGATAATGTATATAAAACACTGAGCACAGTGTCTGTCACATAGGATGGCAAGTAGGCAAATTGGAGTGGTTTCCACATCACCTAGATTATCTTTCTCTCTTGTATGAACTATCATTACTTCAAGTCACTCAAAATTCTGTTTGTGGTGATCCATCACCCTTTGAAGATTATTGCTATCTGTATCTAATATTTTAACCACTGGAGTAGCCTGTACATGGTTGCAGAGTTGCGGTATAATGCAGTTATCTCTAAGCAATGTGCCCAAGTTTGAGGGAACAATGGAGAAATGAAACAAGCAAGTTAATAAAATTTAATTTTGTTTTACCTTAGTGCATAAAAATGTTGGCTTCTTTATATATGCTATTATTTAAATAAGGACACCTCATTCTGAAAGTGGTGACTAAGCCTTTTGTCTAGAGTAAAACCCAAGGCTGATAAAAGGCAATTATATTTCTTATCACAAGATTCATATGTTTATTAGTTGTGCCAGGGCAATTGTGAAGAGAGTCAGACTTTAGTGCTATATCTGTTGAAAGAAGTATGACAGACTTTTGGGGGAAGCCCCCTGAAAGTGGTAGATCAGCCAGATAGACAGGGCAAGCTTCCAGCAGTGATTTCAATGTTTAGTCACAACTGAGATAAAGGGTCAAAGATAAAATTGTGTGTGTGCCAGTGAGTAGGCAGAGCATGGAAGTAGTGAAGCCAGAGCAGCAAAACTCTGCCCCTAGCATCTGGGATATCTGTTCTTGGCCCTAAGAAGATTGTAAGAGTAAGGGAAGGACCCAGATCTGGCAAAAGGGACACAAGGCAAGCCAGGTCATCAGAAATGGCAGTCATAAAAGAGATCAAAGCAAAAGTGGAGTATTATGAATCTACTGTAGAGTGGTGAAGTTCAAGAAGGCATCTCTGGCTCTGAAGCTCAAGTGGAGATACACGGGTGGTCAGAAAAGAGCCCATGTAGGACAGTGAGTCATGTAAAATGATCAGTATAGGAACAGGGTATCTTGACAGGAAAGCAAATATTCAGCACCAGGGCATGTTAGGCTGTCCCAACGTTATTTCTACAATGACCAATTTCTAAGCATTACCCTGTTGACTCAAAAAGGGAATGAAGACACTATTTAAGTTCTTCCTGAAATCAGATTGCTTTTATGCCTGGTGTGGGATTGATACTTTATGTGGAGATTATTATGTCTATTGTGAAGGGGTAAAGAAGACACCAGCAGAAGAATTGAGGAGGCATGTGGGAGATGGTGCTAAAATAGTCCTTGTACATTGTAAAGACAGTCTCACTTATATCAGTAAACAGCTTCTACTCAAAGTCTACCTTTTAGTTACTTGGTTAAATCTATTACCTTGGAATAAAGAATTATTATATCACTTGTGTAAAGGTAAGTGCTCTGTTTTGCCCAGGGTATTTTAAGTGAATCAGGAAGAAAAACCAGAATTTTGCTTCTGTGATGTCAAAATATTTATTGGATACCAATTACTGCTAGAGATTTTCTCTGCCATAGATTTCTCTTTGCCACAACCCTTCTCTAACAATTGATCCTTCCCCCACCACCAACAATCTTCTGTATAAACTATTTTTTGTATATATCACCAATCTCCTTTTATATAGTGTGCAGCACAGATGCTTATCTGCCTCTCTCTCACCACCCTTATGAAGGGTTTTAAGAAACATAAAGTCCTACCTCATCACACACAATGACAGCCAGGAGACTTTGCCTTTGGAAGGAAAAAGAAGCCTGGAGAAGGGGAGCAGGCCAGCTCAAGAAAGAGAATTCCTAGCCTGGGGAGGCAACAGCTGACTTAATCACCTTCTCAGAGGTAAGTGCCAGATAATTTTCAACCTACAACCAGATCTCTCCCCACCTATATCTCCTCTGCTCTGTTATTGATATTCCTTAGCTAACTGCATCCTTCTGCATTCCTCTATTGGCTAAGCAGAACTTGGAGTTAGGATTTAGGATGACTGCTGGCTAGCCAGTTAGCTCAGTTGATTAGAATGTGGTGCGATAACACCAAGGTCCAGGGTTTGATTCCTGTACTGGCCAGCCACCAAAATTAAATTAAATTAAATTAAATTAAAAATAAAGATTTTCTATGATTTACAGTAGCCTTTTTGTTACATGAAAGGATAGATTTCCACTTCTGAATGTAATGACATGGCTTGCATTATACCTACTTACCTGCACAGAACAAAGAACATCTATTTGAAGGTATTTAAGAGAAACTGAGGAAGCTAGAACTGAAGAATCAGGATCCCCAAAAGAAAGAAAGTACATAGAGGAAAATCCAAAATTCTGTACTGTTTCTTCCCTCAAGGAATTTGTTGATTCAGAAGACCTAAGTAGAAATTAGAAGCTGAAAAGTAGAAAAGCTGAGTAAAGTCTGACAATATTTGAAGCTTCTCCCAAAATCACGGGAAAAAGAATTAAACTCTTATACTGCTTTTTCTCTTGAGGAATATCATGATTTTTAAGCAGGATGTAGCAAGAGGTTGAGAGGTCAAGGGGAAAACACACTAAAAGGCTAAAAAGCTAAACAGATTTTTTCTGCAGCCAAAATTATGGTAAGAAAAAAAAATTATAGTTTAGTTCCCACCAACAAAGAGGAGTTCTAGCAAATATTCCCAGGCTTTCATTTGGCATTCCTGAAGGCCTTCATTTTAAGAATATGGGCAAACTAAAAAGAAACTAGGACTTAAAATAATAGAAGCCTAGCTCCAAATTAATTCAATATCTGATTAAATTAAGGTGAGCTGCCTGTAAGGATAAAAAGTATATTATGTCTGGAGGAAGGTAACATCAACAAGAACTTCTATAATTTTCATACACATTGTCTAGCATTAAATCAGAAATTATTAGGACTTCAAGGAGATAAAGAAAAAGAAAAAGAAAGACAATAAAACTGAGTAAAGAGTGATCCAGATTTTAGGGTTATCCAGCATAGATTGTAGAATAACTACAATTAACATTTTTAAGGTAAAAAAAAAGTTACAAAATTTTACCAGATACACACTTTTCATAAAAAATTAAATAAATAAAAGTGGAAATTCTAGAACTAAAAACTCATGGACAGAAAGTAAAGTCTCTATAAATTAGTTTAATGGCAGATTAGAAGCAGTTGAAGAGAGGATTTTTAAATTGGAAGTTAGGGCAATAAGAGATATCTAGAGCAAAGTACAGACCAAAGGAAATGATAGAAAAGATATGCATGGCAGCTTCTTTCAAGGAGGTGGCAAAAGTCCCTGCAACCTCCAGTGCTTGTGCACAGACTTCCAGGGACCGACCTCAGGTCACCATCACCTCCTGAGAATTTCCAAAAATAGATCATACACTCTCCACTTCCACCATCTTGCAATGTGAGACCCCTGGGTCACTGTTGCTACCACCAGATGGACTTTGGACTACCCAGTCTCAAAAACTAAGGAAAAACTGGGGAAATCTTCTTCACAGATGGGATAGGAGAAGTTCAAAATAGAGTCTCCTTGAGTGAGGAGAGATACATCAACAAATACCTCTTTGATGTCCTCTCCTAAGGGAAAGAGGAAAACCGCTTTACTACTGTTGTGTGTTTCAGTGTATACCAAAGAAAAGCCAAAATCCTGTAACGGATCTGCCAAGAGAAAACAACAGATTACTTGACCCAGACTGGTAGAATTAACAACAATCTTGAAAGCAGGGGAGGCAGAAGCTCCGCAGAGACCACATGCCCTGTGGTGCTGGCACAAGTCCCAGCAGATAGGCCTCACTGCCACCACCCAACTCCATCTCCAGCCCAGCCGAGTGTGCATGGAGCAGGGAGATGTCCAGCAGGGGAGGCGGAAGCTCCACAGAAACCACATGCCCTGCAGTGCCAGCATGTGACCCAGCAGCCCGGCCGAGTGCATGCTGACCAGAGAGACAGCTCCCTGGAGAGACCCAAGACCCAAGGCAACCATACACAAAAGGCACTAGTGGCCAACTGAGCAGACACGGAAGTAGCCATACCAAATTGGCAGCCCCAGAAGCATCCTAGCCAGACAATAGTGTCAAACCAGTGGACTGTGAATCCCCCAGTCACAATGACTAAACATCAAAGGAAAAATACCAGAAATATGAAAAATCAAGAAAGTATACCAGCAAAGTGCAAGAACTCTCAAGCTCTAGGTTCTATAGAACAAGAAGCCCTTGAAATGTCTGACAAGGAATTTCAAGTGATAATTCTAAGGAAACTGAATGAGATACAAGAAAACTCACCTAGACAACATGATGAAACAAGGAAAAGTATACAGGATCTGAAAGAAGAAATGTACAAGGAAATCAATGCCCTGAAAAAGAATGTAGCAGAGCTTGCCTAGCTGAAGAATTCATTCAACGAAATTAAAAACACAGCAGAGAGTTTAACCAGAAGAATTGCAGAAGTAGAAGACAGAAATTTTGACCTTGAAGATGGGCCATTTTCAATAACACAGGAAGACAAAAAAAAAAAAAAAGAAAGAAAAAAATAATTAAAAGCATTGAAGAAAATCTGAGAGAGATATTGGACAACCTTAAGCACTCAAATATCCGAGTCCTGGGTATTCCAGAAGGGGAGGAAAAAGGAGATTGCATTGAAAACACATTCACCAAAATAGTGGCAGAAAACTTCCCAGTTATTGGAAAAGACACAGATATTCAGATCCAGGAAGCTCAAAGATCCCCAAACATATTCAACCCAAAAAGGTCTTCTCCAAGATATGTTATATTCAAATTGGCAAAAATCAAAGACAAAGAGTGTATCTTAAAATCTGCATTCAAATTGGCAAAAATCAAAGACAAAGAGTGTATCTTAAAATCTGCAAGAGAAAAGTGTCAAATCACCCAAAATGGAGCCCCAATCAGACTAACATCAGACTTTTCATCACAAACCCTAAAAGCCAGAAAGGAATGGGATGATATATTCAAAATACTAAAAGACAGAGATTGTCAGCCAAGAATACTCTACCCTGCAAGGCTATCCTTCTGAAATGAAGAGCACATAGTATATGTCTCAGACAAATAAAAACTGTGGGAGTTCACTACTACATGACCACCCTTACAAGAAATTCTCAAGGGAGTACTGGGGGGGTTGGTACCTGAAAAACAACTACCACTGCCATAAAAAACCAAGAAAAATTAAAACCCACTAGTATAATAAAAATGGCACCCATGAAGAGGAAACAAACAAACAAAAAAAAGGTTATCTACAACCCAAGGAACCAACAAATACAGAAAACAAACAGTAAATCAGAAAGAAAGGAACAAAAGACACCTAAGACATCCAAACAAAAATCAATAAAATGCTAGGAGTAAATCAACACTTTTCAATAACAACTTTTAATGTAAAAGGCTTAAATTCCCCAATCAAAAGACACAGACTGGCTGACTGGATTAAAAAGGAGGACCCAACTATATGCTGCTTTCAAGAGACCCACCTCACCCATAAAGACTCATATAGACTAAGAGTGAAAGGATGGAAAAAGATTTACTACATAAACAGAAATGAAAAACAAGCTGGAGTAGCTATTCTTATATCTGATAAAATAGACTTTAAACTAAAAACCATAAAAAGAGATAATGAAGGCCACTATATAATGATAAAGGATTGATCCATGAAGAAGACACAGCAATCATAAATACATATGCACCCAATGTTGGAGCAGCAAGATTTATAAAACAAACTCCATTAGACCTAAAGAAGGAAATAGACACTAATACCATAATAGCAGGGGTCCTGAACACCCCACTGTCTATATTGGACAGATCATCTAGGCAAAGAATCAGTAGAGAAACACAAGATCTAAACAACATACTAGACCAATTGGACTTGGCAGATATCTACTGAACAATCCATCCAACAACCTCAGAATATTCATTCTTCTCATCAGCACATGGATCATTCTCCAGGATAGATCACATGTTAGGTCACAAATCATGTCTCAACAAATTCAAAAAAATTATCCCATGTATTTTTTCAGACCACAATGGATTAAAATTAGAAATCAATGAAGAATGAAATTCTGGAAGCTGTACAAACGCATGGATATTAAACAGCATTCTGCTTAATAACATATGGGTCCAAGAAGAAATCAAACAGGAAATCAAAAAATTTATTGAAACTAATGAAAATAATGATACATCATAGCAAAACCCGTGGGATACTGCAAAAGCAGTATTAAGGGGGGAATTTACTGCATTAAATGCTTACTTCAGAAGAATGGAAAGATGGCAAGGGAACAACCTAACACTTCACCTTAAAGAACTAGTAAAACAAGAACAATCCAAACCCAAAGTTAGCAGACAGAAAGAAATCATTAAGATCAGAGCAGAACTTAATGAAATTGAAACCCAAAAAACGATACAAAAGATCAATGAATAAAAAGGTTGTTTTTTTTGAAAAGATAAATAAAATTGACAAACCATTAGAATGGCTAACTAAAAAAAGGAGAGAAGACCCAAATAACAAAAATTAGAAATGAAAAAGGTGATATTACAATTGATACCTCTGAAATACAAGGAATCATTTGAGACTACTATAAACAACTATATGCCAACAAATTTGAAAATCTGGAGAAAAATGGATAAATTTCTGGACACACACAAGCTACCAAAACTGAGCCAAGAAGATGTAGAAAATCTGAGCAAACCAATAACAATAAAGGAGATTGAAGCTGTTATCAGAAGGCTCCCAACAAAGAAAAGACCAGGACCCGATGGATTCACAGCACAATTTTACCAAACATTCAAAGAGGAATTGACACCAATTCTTTACAAACCATTCCAAAAGATTGAAACAGAGGCAAATCTCCCAAACTCATTCTATGAAGCAAACATCATCCTGATATCAAAACCAGGTAGAGGTAAAACTAAAAATGAAAACTACAGGCTGATATCCTTGATGAATATAGATGCAAAAATCCTCAAT